TTGGCCATTTTCGCGGGGGGAGGGGGGGAATAGATTAACAGCTATGCAATGTATTGTATATGTTATAGGTAACATATATACACGTACACCGGAGACTCACTCAGACCTGAGATCTTGGAAGAAGAAGACAACCCACCCTGTTCACAGCCGGTTTCTGAAACTTAGCAGCAGCAGCAGCTTGGAGGAAAGGTCTCCTGTAGCAGTGTGCATCCAACTCCCGCTCGGGATCCCCCCTTCATCCCTCTCCGTCGGCTTAGTCCGGGCCCAGCAGGGAAGGGAAGGACGAGCCGCGCCCGCGGAGGGCCGGGCGCGGCGGCGGCGGCTGTCCCGGCGCCCAGCTCGCTCCCTCGCCGCTCTCGCTCCCCGCAGCAGCAGCAGCAGCAGCGCCTTCACTGCCGCGGCCCCGCGCAGCCTCCGCGCAGCGGGCGGGCGCGATCCCGGCCGGCGGCCGCCCCCGGCGGCGGCGGCTCCGGAGCATCCAGGAGGGCGGCGGGCGGCGCGGGGGGGCTGCCGCGAACCGCCGCCCGCGCTCAGGGCGTGGAGGAGCCGCGGCGCGGAGCCGTCGCCGCCGTCGTCCCTCCGCCGGGGTCCCTCCGCCGGGGTCCCGTCGCCGCTGTCCGCACTCCGCCGGGCGCTCCCCGGGACGGCCGCTCCTCCCTCGCGGCCGCGGGGCGCGGGGCGAGCTCCTGGCGGGGGCAGGGGCTGCGCTGGTGCCGCCGCTGCCCCGGCCCGGCCGCGCTCGCAGCCGCACTGACAGCCCCGCTCGCCTCCTCTTCCAACTTCGCGAAATAAAGCTGCACTTGCCGGTCCGCGGCCGCCGCCTCCGCCCGCGGCTTTGCGCTCCCCCTTTTTTAAGCACAAACAATCGCTACTTCTGTTTCCTAAGGACACGAAGCCGGTTTCTCTCTCTTTTTTTTTTTCCCCCTTTTTTTTTTTTTTTTTTTTTTTTTTTTTTTTTTTTTTTAACCTCATCAGCTTTTTTTGAAAAGAAAAAAAATTTGAGCGCTTTTTGAGTTGAAACACCCGCCCACATTTTAACGGCAGAGATTTAAGGAGGCGCGGCGGAGTTCGGGCAGGAAGGCCTGCAGCGGCTCCCGCCCGCCCCTCGCCCGGCCCCGCCGCGCTCCGGCCGCCGCCGCCGCAGCAGCTCCGCGGCGCCCGGTGCCGTCCCCTCGCCGCGCAGCCCGGGCACGGCTCCGCCACAGCCAGCACAGCCCGGCTGCTTTTAGAAGCAGCGCTGCTGAGGCCTAGGTGGGGGGGAAATGAAAGGAAAAGGAGGTTGCAGCAGCGGGAGCCGCCGCACCCCGGCGGGAGGAGCGGGATCGGGGCAGCTTGGCAGGCGGGAGGGCGGCCTCTGCCACGGCGCTGCCCGGAGCTTCTCCCCGGCGGTCTCCACCTGCCCGCGGGGGAGCGGAGCCGGCTCCGGTCCCGGTCCTGGCCCCTTCGCCCTCGCTCGGCACCCCGCAGGCAGCGGCTCCGCGCTCGGGGTCGCCCGGGCAGCGGCGCGGGCGCCTCTCTCATCCTGAGGACAAGGTCAAGGATGAAGGGTCAATGTCAAGTTGTCTTAACGGTGGAAGGCGACCATCCACGGCAGCACTCTTTGCTTCCCGAGTTTCTGGTGTCCTTGATTGATTCGAAAGTGCCATTTTGAAGGGGAACCGCGCCCGGGCACCAAGAGGACGCGAGGACTTTGCTTTTCCTTCCCAGAGCGAAAAAGTGAGGACGGTACAGGACGGGGATGTCACCGCCGCTCTGCCTAACAGTATTTAGGGTCTTAAAGTGCTTTAATGGCTGGATTGCTTTAGGTTTCAGGGACCCTCGGAGGACTGCGTTCTGCCAAGCGAACCCTCCGAGAGGTAAGCAGCAAATGTCATGGCTCCCTGATAAGCACACGTAACCCATCGCTCGCAGGGGCAATCTGCACGTCTGTTTTCTGCGTGGACGCCACGGGAAAGTGATTTTGAATGTAAACAGGCGTGAGGCAGCTCGGGGAGGTGCGTTAGGGAGGGAACCTGTGGTGGGTGCAGCTCCTCCAGCGCTGCCCTGCGGGGGGAACCTGCCGCGGGCAGCCGGGCAGGGACCGGAGGCGGCCGCGGCACCGCCGTCAGACAGAGCCGCGTCTGCAGCGGTGGAGCTGCAGCTGAACGAAGCCAGACTGCTCCTGTCCGGCTTTCCTCTCAGCTTCGGTTGCTTTTTGCTTTGCAATTGTATTTTCCTGTACTGATTCCCCCATCCATGCTTGCGAATATTACAAAGGTGACAAGTGTGAGCTGCCTACACACCAAGCAGGGGAAACAGCTTTGTTCAGTTTATCAACTGACCCTCCACTCCCATTCCCACTAAAGGAGAGGGAAAACACGTCTATTTTTAAGGGCCTCATTGTGGTAATTCTCGTCCAGAAGCAATAGTGCTTTATTTCCCCTCATTTTTTCTCTCATTTTATTTTTCCCCATTTTTTAAAAGCGAAAATGTCAATTATAACTTCCCTCAAAGTTATGTGTGCATATGTATGCAAGTAGCATCTGTTTATTCAAATACAGTTGCTTTTCTGCATAAAGAGGGAATTATATGTAAAACGTGGAATATTCAGACAGATGGCTTATAAATTACTTATTTTGTGACTAATTACTGCCTAAAATCCACAGGCTTTGGTGGTGTTACCTGTTGCTAACTTAGTTCAAAATTAGACCTGCAAATACTACAGCTGTGTCACCCTATTTTTTGTTGGTTTATGGTTCAGAATAAAACTTCGATCTTCTGTTAATCACGCCACATAGCAAAATAAGTAAGTGAGGTGTAGCTGGAGTGCTGCAGGCCTCCTGCAAGTAATGCTGCCTGGCCAGAAAATGCCATCAAACTTCCTCTACTGTACAGGTCTGTCAAAAGTCTTTGCAGAAAGCAGTTCATTAATCCTGATCATCTCATCTCATGAGTGATAAAGATACTCCACCTAAAACAGAGAGATTTGTCCCAATTGGCTCCAGAATCAGCAGAAAAAAACCCCGAAAAACCAACAACAAACCACTTCTGGAGGGAGATATTATCACCGAGCATTATGAGGAGTAAAATAATCGGTTCCCTAATTTATCTGTCACTCGTTGGAGGATAAAACCCACCTCGAATGGCTCAGAGAGGCTGTGAGAAGGCAAACAGAAACTTTAGCTGTGACTTGAATGTGAACTTCCTGAGATGTGGGGCACGTGCAGCTTTTCACCTTTTCTTCATGTTTTGGATCAAATCCTTCCTGTTTTGATCTAATATAGATATCACTATTTAAAATATGACTGTAATAGTACGAACGCCGTGTAACTAATCTTGACAACATACCTATAGCTTCAATTTGTGCCAGGAATTAATTGGCTTTAATCCAATTGCTAAGACTTGCTTTTCAGCCTTTATTATAGTTCCTCTCTAGCAATGTGTGGGTGGATTTGTTTGTAATTTAGCATAGGCTGTCCCTGGCATTGCACCATACCTCGTACTTAGTACAGAACTGTCTAACAGTAACATTAAACTGGGAAAAAAAAAAAAGGTGCAGGTGTGAGGGCAATTAATATATCATCCCTCCGGTCGGTGGTGGGGAGCTCGCATTGTTAAGCTCACGTCAGCGGGCAATAAAAACTATTCTGGCAAGCTCTGCCAACACAAACTAGAGCAGGAAGACAGCAAAATGTAAAACCCAGCTTTTCTGACACTGTGGCTTCGCCTCGTAAGTGGCGTTTCCGTGCGGCCTCAGCCCGCCCGGAGCGCCGCCGCCGCCAGACACCCAGCCCAGGCGCCGGGCTCCCGGCAGCGTCCGCAACAGGCTCCGAACCATTCCCAGGGTTTCTCCTGGCATCACGGACTCTCCTGAAGGCTCAGCTGAGCTTTCCCCTCCGCACGCAGCGTTCGTCCGCGGCGGCGCCGGGCTCGCCCCGCACTCGCCCCGGGGCCAGCGGCGGCAGGGAGCGCGCAGAGTCCGCGGCACCCCCGTGACCCTCGCGGATGGACGGGAGAAACAATAAAGAACGCTGCTGCCTAAACCCGGCAACATACCGTGCTTCAAAGGTACCAGAATGTAGCGTTATTAGCTGACAGGAAAGCTGCTTGGTGCATCTGTGACCTCAGCTACGACACTCACTGGACACTTAAAGAAGCAAAGCAAAACATGCTGGACTAATTAGCAAGTTGTCCAAATGTGTTTTATGTCGGTGCTAAGGGGGTACATGAACATCAGGTTGTAGGAGGCAGACTTAGGAAGCATCAGTTACAGTCAGATTTGCATTACTTAAAGCAGATTTATTTGCGGTATAGAATAGAATTGCATCTTACAGTGCTGGAGTGCTAAGCCTGAGCGAGGGCCGCTGTGCAGATCACGATGTGTTGGCTCAGAAAAACCTGCGAAAAATCTATTTCCTTCTTTTGAGCCAAGTCGGAACCGGGTGGAAATGTCGCCGCTCCCCCGAGCGCCGGGCGGTGCGGGGCACCGGGCGGGCTCCGTGTCACGGGGGAGCGGAGGGGACGCGAACCGCGCCGGGAGCGAGCCGCTGCATCCACCGAAACCAGCGCGGTCCGGAGGGACGGAGGGAGAGGGGCAGGAAGGATGGAGGGGTGGATGGATGGATGGATGGATGGATAGATGGATGGATGGGATGGCACAGAGAGGCAGGGCCGCGCTCCGCCCGGCAGCTGCACCGGCCCGCGTTTCCCCGCTCTGCCCGGGGCCGGCTGCAGCCGGCTCTCCGCAGACCCGTTAGGCCGCAGCCGGCGGCGGAGCCCAGCCGGGACACCCCGCGCCGCGGCCGGGCCCAGGGAGCCGCCAAGCCCCGGCACGGGCCGTGAGGCTGTGTGGGCCCCGCCGCGCAGCTCTGGCCGGGCAGGGCGCGGGCCGGAGCTCCGCGCGGAGCCGCCCGGGCGCGGGGTCCGCGCGCGGTCCCGCCCCCGGCTCCGGGAGCGCTTGACAGGCGGGCAGTCACGTGGCGGCCGCAAAGCGCCTCTTTGCGACCTCAATGACAGGCAAAATGTGCGACACAGGCGCTGTGGAGGCAGGCGGGGAGCGGCGCTGCCTCCTCCTCCTCCTCCTCCTTCTTCTCCTCCTCCTCCTCCTCCTTCCCGGGCCAGCGGCTGAGGCAGCGCTGCCCGCTCCCGGCCCCGCGCCCGGCCCGCCGCTCTCCTGCCTCCTCCCCTCCTCGGCCCCGGGAGGGGCAGCCCGGGGGCGCCGCGGGAGCCCGAGCGCAGCGCGGCGCCTCCATGAGCTCCTGAGCTCCCACCCTGCCCCGTCCTCCCCGCGGCTGCGGCTCCAGGTGCGCGGGTCCGAGCAGAGCCGGGACGCAGCTGGCTGCAATGGCGTCCAACATGGACCGAGAAATGATATTGGCTGATTTCCAGGTAAATTTTAAGCCGCCGCCACACAGCCGTGGCCTCTCGCTGCTTTTCTCTTTCTCCTCGTTGCTGTGCTGCTTGTTCTTTGTGGGGAGGTCCTGGGTGGTGGGTGTGAAGCCCTCCACCCTCTGAAGCCTCCGCTCTCGCTTTCCTTCTTTCTTGTTTGTCAGAAATGGGGAGCGTGTGCCCTTTTCTCTCAAGGTGTGTGAACAAAATGTCTTCTTTAACTTAGAGAGTTCCAGTTTTTTAATTAATAAAATAAAGCTTTTTCCATCCACTTTGCTTGTTCCTACCCTCTGCAACCACCCAGGCCCTGGGACAGCTGTGAGGCAGCTCACTTGGAAGAGGCAGATGCCAGGGAGGATACAAAACTCACCAGTCCACATGATTTGTCACAGTGTTTGTAGTGAATCACTTGCTGGTACTACAGATTAGTGCTGAACAGAGGTGTTTCCATTCCAGCATCAACACTAAACTCCATGGTTGCCTCAGCCTATGACTGTTGTGATGACGGTAAAGCTCTTCCCACCCCATTCCAGACAAGTGTGTTTGTGTTGAAGGGAGGAATATCCTCTTCAAAGTTGTTCGTTACCTTTCCTTCTCTCTACAAAAGGGTTGTAATTTAACTTTAGACTTCTAAATCTTATCCCCAGAATAAAGTCTTTCTGTAAATGAAAATGATGTGTTTAGGAGTGTATTCTTAATATTGCTTGTTTTATATTGTTTTTCTAAGACCAAGTAAAAAAGTGGAGGATACCTGCATTTGAAATAATGGGGGGAGCCAAACACATCTGGGAAGGGAATCAGATAATATTTGAATATGCTTTTTTAATATTTGCTTTTAGATTCATCCATTTTTAAAGCTCTGTCCATTTGCAGTGGTTGTTCTTACATGGATAGGCACCTGTATATTCTTGGATTGATTTGTAAAACTGCTATCTGTATGTTCAGCTTCTTAACAGACTGTTAGCAGTGAAACTATTTTGTTTAGTTGAAAAGAAAAAAAAGTAATCCCTGCAATTAATTCTCTGTGTGTGTTTCTTTGGAGCTACAGGTAGGGTGACTGTAGTGTGCACAGTAATTCCTGTGTATTATGTAATTAAGTAATTCCTCTTGCAAATTGCAAAAGGTACCTGGTATCTCACTGATGTAACTCATGGAGTTCCTAGCTGGTGACAGGGAACTGTCGTCCCCTCCTGTACCCCTTATCTTACACCTGTATTCATTAAAATGTTTACCAAATGTTCCTATATTGATACTACTTTGTTGTACTTGGAGGTGCTTTTGTGTATATAAGGGATGACATCCCAATTTTAGGGCTGGGATTTCACAAAGGAGATTTTCCAGGAAGAGCACACTGTGGGAAACTGGGACCCCAATGCTGCATTCATACCAGTGGGAACAGGTTTTTATGAGATCCCACATTATTACCTGAACTTGCAATCAGGAATCCCAGATGATGAAATCAGTGGCTGGTGAACGTAAGATTGTTTAATAGAATTTTCAATATTCATTTACACTTTCCAAAGTGTTTTTTGCTATTTTCCAGTATTGTTGTGTTTGGAATTTGAAACCACTAATAAAAGTGTAAGAGCAACTGCAGTGTTTGGTACCATGAAGACAAGTAAGTATCATTGCAAACTTGTAGGTAGGTGGTGGAGTCACAGAAGCCAGTTTTAGATCAAGGGTGGATGACATAATGTGTCTGAACCTAGGACACAGGAAATATTTTATCATATACCAATCCTTACTTAAAAAGAACCCAAACATTTCCCTCTTGTGTTTCAGCAGACAGCTTTGTTTCCCTGTTTCATTATATTTCTTTTTAAGATAATATCAAGTGTCTACCTGATTTTGAAGTACTAAACTGTTAATTGTCATGGTGTTAAAGATTCAGATTAGCAAAGGACAATGTCAGTCATTATTAGGCCTTGTATCTGTAGACTGTTACAAAACAGTAAAGATTTTTGGGTCTTTTAAATACTTGGTGGAATTTACAACTCATTCACTAAGAATTTAAAATGAAGAATAAAGCATTATGTGCAAAGTAATTCTGCATGATTTTCCCTTCTATATTTTCTGTACCTTTTAATTAATAAATATGTTTCTCAGAGTTCTGCTGCCATCTTCTATGTTTATGTGGGGTGTCTTGTTGAAGAATGTTGCACACAGTGAAAATTTCAAAAGCAATTTTTTATAATTTAGTTCAGCTAATCTTTGGTGAATTAAATTGGGAGGGAAACGTCCATCACCATTTCACCCTCACTTTTCCCAAGTTGTGTTTAACGGGGATAGAGTAGTGGTCTTTAAACTTCTGAAACCTGAAAGGGTTTCAGAAGTTTAATCAGTACAGTTATGAGATCATAATTGTACTGATGCTTGATGCTTTTGTGAAGCTTTCATGGATTTATTTTGTGTCTTCCAGAGTTATGAGGGATTTTGCCTTGGGTTTCAGCTAGAGCAGGAACTTACATTGCATTTGATATTTTCTTTTTAGCTCTGATTGTAGTACCAGGTTACTACTACATTTGGAGGTACCAAAGAGAATTACTTATTTTTAAAAAGTATTTTGTGTACATATATATGTATATGTACATGTACATAAACCCATGGAATTTTATGAAATATTTTAAGTATAGCGTAAGACACAGTGAGTGATCTACCAAAATATTTTTGCCTAATGTCTCAAAACAATTTAAGCCTGTTCTGTGTGGTTTATAATTATTTTCTTTTCCTCTCCCTTTTAATGAGGCTACTGTGTGCTACCCAGGGAGCACAAAATACGTATTCATGCATGTGGGCTGTATAAGCAACCTGCCTAACTTTTCCTTCTTAGGCCCACACTTAGGAAAGATTATGCAGAAGCTTTGCTTTGTACATGAGTAGCCTGATTGTTTTCAGTGGAAGTAGCTGATGTGGAGTTCAGTGCACAAACAAGTTTTAGCTTTTTTCTAAATGCAATTCAGAACTTCTCCACAAAGTGTCATTGGCATAAAGGAAAAATTCCATAGGAAAAACACAACAGCTTGTTTTAGCAACATAAATTCTTCAAAAAGGTAGCTTCATGTCAATTGGTAAGTGATGTTGCAACATACTTCACATACTGAGGGAAATAAGGGCATATAATATCAACAAATATTTTAACAACTGTTCTGTTGTTTGTTGTGTTTAACTGCAAAGTGTGCTTCCATCTTCAGTGGGATACCCAGGTGCCCACATGGTACAAATATACTGATGATCTCTTGCAGTTTGGGGCGTACTTTTCACTATAAATAAAACGTTGTTGTTTTTTTTTTTTCTTTTTAAATTGTAAAATGTAGTTGCACAGAGCTTCATTTAATTGACATAGGTTGGTCTTCATTCCCAAAGTTTGAGTATTGGCAGAAGTGTCAGATACTGATGTTTTTACACATTAGCACTTTTGCTTTTGTTTATACAGCTTCACTTAGGATTGGAACTAAAGCTAGCAAGAATATCTTTCTGGCATTATAAGTTATGGCCACCTATAAGACCACTTAATTCATGCTGTGTGCTTGTCCTCACAGCAATCCTAAATGTGGAGTGGGCCTAAGGTTGCAGTATTGTGGGGCTGCCAACACCTGTGTGTCCATGTATTACAAGAATATCTGGCACTCTGGAGCTTCAGGAGGAAATTTTTAAAAGAATTCACATTTTTTATTGACTAAATAAGTAGCTCAGGATTTGGTCAGGGTGGGAGGATTTCATAGTGAAATGACAGAATTCAAAAATCCTTGCTTTCATTGAGACAATAATTTCTAGTAGTTTTCTTCTCCCCTCTTTCATCTGTATTCATTGTGAAACAATGAATGTGTGCTTTTATTTTCCTTTCCCAAATTTTTTAAAATAGTGAATAATAGACTACTTTTGTGTGACTCACACACTTGTGTATAAAAATGTCTTCTTTTTTTCAAACTTCAACTTTGTGTCAATCTCTTTCATTAAAACAGGTTTGTGGGAGGAGCAAGGGGGAATTGAGAAGGAAGAACCTCATTGTCATCAGTTGCAGCAAAGTGAAAAAGCATGATAAATGATTGTACTTTAAATTATAAAATTGACCATGACAGTGATAGATCAGTTTATTACTTTTTTTGTTTGTTTATTTTTGAAGATTTAATTGTAATTCAGTCTACTTATTTCCTTCTGGAATGGCAAAATTTAAAGAAAATGGAGAATTCTTTCACCTGGAGGTTAACGCGGTGCTGTTAAATAACTAACAAGATAAAGTGTTTGGTTTGGGTTTTTTTTTTTTGTTTTTTTTTTTTGTTTTTTTTTTTTTTTGTTCCTGTCTGCTTCAGCCCTGTAGAAGATTATCTCAGTTGTGCACAGTTTTCACTGACAAACAGTGTGTGCAGAATTTACATTTGTATTCTTTTTTTAATGGGTGCTAAGTGAGCTTTGCTTATGTGCTCGTTGGCATGGTGGCTCAGGTTTTCTGTAATTTTAAATAATTGTCAGTATAAAGATTTGATGGGTGGAAAAGGTAGGCAGATACAGGAATAGCTTCAAGTCAGTTCCTTTGATTCTGGCCCTGGTCTGTGACTTGTGGGGGCTGGAAAGTGTTTCAAACATTTCTGTAAGGATAAACTATTCACTATGGATTCTGAACAAATCTCAAAGTGCATGTCCTTAATATTGATTTCTGAAAGAGAAAGACTTGTTTTGTCATTAGGGTGCTGGGGCAGAAAGGGCTGTTCTTGCTTTCTTTGCAGGCTTTCTGTGGAGTGGTTGGGAATTTGGAACAAGGTCCTCAACAAAAGGTTGTTGCTGAAGAAAGTTCCAGTCAAAGTTTGAACACAAGCTGGAGGACACTTTCCAAAGATTTAAAGTTCTTGGAGGTCTACATTTTCATCAGAAGCTCTCCCTAAATACCTGGATATACATTTGTTCAGATCTGTCTGAGTTTTAGCCTCAGTCTTACTCAAACCAAACCCTCTGTTTAGTGTGGCCTCTCCGTAGAATGTAGAGTGCAGTGGGTGCTGATCTAA